AGAATCTCATTGCTACGACAGAAAATCCCGGGAACCGAGTCTATTCGGCACCTGAAGCAGGGAATCCAAGGGAACACTCTCCTGCTATGGATGTGTTCAGTTATGGTGTCCTCCTTATAGAGATGAGTATTTGTGCTATTCCACAGCCTGGTAACAGAAGGCAGGATGTTAATTCTATTAGACGGGCTGGGTTTAAGGGTCTTGTTCAACGCTGTGTTATGGATAATTGTAAATTGCGTCCTAAAATGTCTGACATTATAAATGAACTGACTCAAAGTGTCAGTTAATTTTTTATTGACGGACTATTGAATATTTGCTGCTTTCTTTTTAGTGTTGCGTTATTTCTTTTAATTTTCTGACTTTGTATAGTAAATTTTTGTAGTTACTAAATTTTTGTAGTTACTATTTTTTCTATTCTAATTTTTAACAGTTACGGTATATTAGTAGGCGTGGCTATTTAATTATTAAAACCACACCCTTTTGTAATTAACCCTTTAATAACTACAATTTTGAAGGATCATTCTTTCTCGCCTCGTTTCGACGAGTGAAGCTATGGCGAGGGAGACTGGGCGATCCTTTGGTAACTGCATCAGTCCAGAGGCCGCGAGGTATTCTAAATTTATCCTTCTACATGTAACACGTACATGTACATACATGTAAATGTACATAATTCTCACCTTTTCCTCCTCCTCCCTCCAGCTCTTCCAGTTCGTTAAAGAACGTTTTAGGATATCTTCAAGATTACATACCACAGGTAAGAATGATCATTATAACTTTGTAACTACATGCACATTATTTTAATTTTGGAGTATTTATAATCGATATTTATTATTTTTATTATTAAATTGTTTAGAGTTATGCATCAACCGCCCCCACGTCAGGCAGTAACCTACACAGAGAGATTGTGCATTGGGCTCGGTTTGAGACTGAAGGTTAATAATAGTACACGTTACTAATAATAGCTCATGCAATGACTTTATACTTGTTACTATTATTAGAACACGTTAATGGGTTTATGAGTGAAGAATTGGCTCAATCCTCACAGCCGCTGGTTTTATTGACTGGTCTTTCCTCTGGGATTGTGTTATGGATGATAACAGTTAGTTTAATGGAGAGTGTTTTATAATAATTGTTTACTCTCTCCTTCCTCCCCCCCCCCCTCTCTCTCTCTCTCTCTCTCTCTCTCTCCCTCTTTCTCCAGCCTAATGGAGATGCTAAAGAAGTTTATTCAACACTTCAAGATGGAGAGGGACCAGCTAAACTGGCTACCCTCCTCAAGTCTCCTCCTCCTGGTGAAGATGAGTTCAGTTCAAGTCGGCCATTACTAGCTGTAGTTAGGAAGGGAAGGTAGGGAATGATGTAATCTGACATCATCAAATTGGCTGATGCAATATTTCTGTAGTAGCATTAGATGAACGTACATGTACATACATGTATATTAGCGTATTATTTTCTGGCAGTAGTTTCAAAGCTTTACATAAACTTACACACAAATACTGTATCTTATGGAGCTTCACTTGTCAATGAAAGGGAGGGATTTAGAATGGACACACAGCTGCTTTCATTAATAAGAGCAATAATGTATTTTTAATATCTTCATTTGTTGCCAATTAAACAATAAATAATTTGATATTATAATCTTTTATTTTGTTCCTCCAGTGGTATGCAGAAGCACCTCCATTCTACAGCTGTTGTGATCTCTCTGAGAGGAGGAGGGAGGGAAGTAAAGAAATTTGAATTTGAGAAGAATTCAATACTAGACATTAGTTCAAACAAACGGTTGGTACTTCATGAAGTGAAGTGTTTGTATCTTTTCTTTCTTGTTCTGCTATAGTGTGGTAGTCATTGTCCTTCAGAAGAGATTGGTCCTTCTTGATGCAGGAACTTTTGAAAAGAAATGGATTATAAAAAGTAAGAAAGACACTTAGACCTTCATCATTATCTCTCTCTTCCTATAGCTGGCTACCGTGGCTCTGAACTATGGACTAATCCTATAGCACTGGGAGAGAGATGGTTAGCCTTCTCTGATTTGAAGGTACAGTCCATGTACATATACATGTAGTATCAGTTTATTAGCGAAATTCCATGTACAAATGTAGGTTCATCCCCACCTGCTCTCAGTTGGGGGCGTGTCAGATAGACTCACTCCTCCTGTGGCCTCTACTGTAGTGAACACGGTAAAGAAAGGATTCAATGCTCTCTGTAAGTGAACATATTCTATTATTGACAGCTGCTCTCTTTCCCTCCATTAGCTGATACACTCAGTGGACTCACTGGCAGGAACTCATCACAGTCAACAAGGACCACACCCTCTTCTGGTGAAGTGAGTATACTGAGATACACAAGAGTTTACTGGAATTTCCTTTTTAGAATTCTCCTCCTGTTGTTACTATACTGGACATTGAGTATTCTCGTTCCGGAGAAGTGAGTTCTATTTAATGCCCAGTGTATTCTATTTAAAGCCCACTGTGTATACCAGGTGCAAGTTAGTGAATTGAGGAAGACAGATGGTGTCTTGGCTCACTTCCTGTGCCATACTATCAGTGATACATACATCACTATGCTCAAGTTTAACAGGAGGTATTTCTAACCAGCTACTCCTGTCCCTTAGTCTCCTCTCCTTTTAGTGGCAATATTTTATTTTCTGCTGATTCTGAAGGACAGTATTTCAATGTGTTTCATATATCGCCAAATCTTCTTGGATCAAGCGACTGCAAAGTTGCCCATCTTTATTCTTTGTACAGAGGAACAACCACTGGAATAGTAAGAAAGAGAGAGAAAAGAGATTATAGTTTTCTCTACATTATGCTATGCTGAAAGTTTTAATCTATTCTGACCCAAAGTTTATTTTTTTTATTCTCCTTCTTTCTCTCTTCCTCTTCCTTCAAGGTTCAAGATGTCAGTTTCTCTAACGACAGTCGCTGGTGTGCTGTATCCACACGTAATGGAACAACTCATCTCTTTCCTATATCACCTTATGGAGGTAAGAGAAACAGATAAATCTATACCATAATGATGTACATACATGTTATTATTAGGTCCAGTCACAGTTCGTACCCATAAGGTATCTCACGTGGTCAACCAGTACAGTCGGTATCATACCAGTGCTGGTATTGAAGAGGCTGGGACTGGAGGAGGAGGAGCCTTTAATAACGGAGGAACATCACCACTGATGATACCTTCACTCCAGCAGATAAAACAGCAGTATCTACCAGGTCAGTGAGACTGTGAAAGAATTCAATACTGTGTATATAATACTTTTAATATGCTTTGATTGATTGGTATGTGTACACATTCATTGCTATGCACATGTTCTTTATTAATAATATTAATATTGTTTTAGGTTCCAAAGGTAATTCACTGGCCAGTGATGATGGTACTGACTACATTTGTGTGAGGGCTCACTTTGCTCCCATAACAACGGATAATAACATTAACTCACTTAAACTTATCGGTAAAAATCACATTGACAATTTAAATTATTTATAATAATTATTAAAAGATTTTACAGAGAACAAGGCGGAGTACTCTATCTACATACTGGGTGGAGACGGTTCCTTGACTGAGTACCTACTGGGACCGATTGAGAACACTAACAATAATACTGGGGCCGGAGGGGGCGTGGTCAACGAGAGTGATGAAGAGACTCAAATCGGATTACAGTCGGCACCTAAAATAACATGGAAATTATTGAGGTATGGGCGGAGTCAGTATTAATTTTATTGTTTATTATTAATTAGTAAGCCGTTTGATGCCCCTCCCACTTTAAGTGACGATAATCATCTGATATCACTCCACAAACTTCATCAGGAAAAGATGCAATCCCTCGGTAACTCAGTCACATGACTTATTAATTAATTATTTTATTTATTAAGGAGGTGGTTCCATTTTTTTACCCGATAAAGAAGGCTGGCTATCTCAAGTTGAGTTACTCTCATATGCTCCGCCCACACGTCGGCTCTGGATGGGACCTCAGTTCTCATTTAAACGAGTTTCTCAACCAACCACTGATGAAGAGGAAGAAGGACTGGCCTCTCCTCTAGCCGTCTTACCCCCGTCCCAAGATTACCTGGGGAGTAGTGGGGGAGGATCGCTGGGTAGTTACGTAACGTTTGGCGAGAACGAGAGTCTCCCTGCTAGTTATAGTGCAGAGTCTTGTAACAGGAGGAGGAGGAGGGGAGGAAGGAAGGAGGACGAGACTAGCGAGTCAAACTGCTCTAGTTTGGAAGACACTGGTAAGAAAAAGGAGAGAATTATACAAATACTAGATCAGTATGCTAAACTTAAATTTTACCATTATTGTTATTATTTTAGATGTTGAAGCTTTTGGCTCCTGGAAGGATGTAGCCCCTAAGTTGAAAGGAGGCGGAGCTGATCTTGAGCTGCTGATAGAAGAGGCAATGAGCGATCGGCTTATAATAACGGATGATAAACAAAACAGTAAACACAAACAAGATTGTTTACTGATAGCACCGGAAACAGAAACAGCATTAGGAGGAAAGAAGAAGTCCCATAAAAAGATAGTTCAGGAATTATATTAGAATAATAATTATTAGATATAATTATAATATGAGAGGTAGAATTGAAAAACTTTATACATGCATGAAGAGACGAAATATTTTTATTTTAAGTATTATCTCATTACATCATCACATCTATTATTAGATTAGTTTTAATGAAATGATTAAATAAAAGAAAATCTATAAAAAAGCAGAAATTTTTAACTCTTTACTGGCCTTTAGTGACTTCAATACGTTAGCCACACCTCTAAAAAGGGTGGGGCTGGATTGCAGGCTTTATTTTTAGCAAAAATAAAAGAACCTTTTGTGTAACTCTTTCTCCTTAGCCTTATGATGAAATACTACGGTGGAGTACTAGGGTAAATGAAGTTGCAATAAGTTATTGGTTGTAATTTTGAGTTTATATTTCATCTCCCCACCCTCCACTAGTGGTGGCAGCCATACTGATGCTGTCATTATAAATCAAAATGGTGATATATTGGGGCAGGCTACTGGAGGAGGGTCCAATCCTTGGGTAAGGACCTTTGTATATGTTTCCTTTTGGGTGGAATGTATTTTATTTTATTTTGTAGCAATTTACGTTTGAAGGTTGCGTTAATGTTATTCACGAGCTTTTGGTTAAAGCAATGGATGCAGCTGGAGTCAAAGGGACACTGGAATCTATTGTATGTATTCTACTTCTCCTTAATGCATATACATGTTCTTATGTTGTGTAGAAAGTTTGAGCTGATTCCGATCAAAATTGAATTTTTTACGAATTTTTAAAGTTGCTCCAAAATCAAGTAAAAGTCCCTGTACTATAGTACATGGTCTCGGGCCAAATTTTGCCAAAAATGAAAAGTTGAAAATTCTTCATTTTTATAACTTTATCTGATACATATACATGTTCTTATGTGGTGTAGAAAGTTTGAGTTCATTTCAATCAAAATTGAATTTTTTACGAATTTTTAAAGTTGCTGTTTCTGTACTATAGTACAGGGTAATTTCCCAAAAATTAATAGGAGAGAAGTTTTAATTTTATTACATTTTTGGCCATTATTTTAATAATATTATTAATTATTGATAATTATAGGGTTTATCATTAAGTGGTGGAGAGCAGAAGGAAGGCCAAGAAAGAATCAAATCCGGACTTTTATCAAAAACTCCTCTCCTTAGTTCTAACGTGTACGTAACCACTGATACCTTTGGTCCTATTGCCGCTGCCTTCCCCTCTGGTGGCATGGTCCTGATATCAGGGACTGGATCAAACTGTGAGCTCGTTAATCCTGATAATAGCACTCATCGCTGTGGGGGGTGGGGCCACATGCTTGGAGATGAAGGATCTGGTAAGATATTAATGATTATCAACATTATTGTCATTCTTATTATTGTTGTTATTATTATCATTATTATTATCATTATTATTATTATTATTATTATTATTATTAATTTAGGTTATTGGATATCACACAGAGCTGTTAAACTGGTCTACGACATTGAAGATGGTTTTAGACAAGCACCAGCTGGTACTGACATAAAGATATTAAAAGATGAAGTTTACAAATACTTTAATGTAAGATAATGACATTAATGGAGACTGGTTCATTGCAGCTGTATATTTTCATGTTAATGCTCTTCTTTCAGATTAAGGACAGATTTGACATCTTGGATTTCATTTATGAGAAGTTTTCAAAGTCTCACATTGCCAAATTGTGCAAAATATTATCTGACGGTACACAAAATCAGCTCATTTCTTTATCATGATACTTTCTAATTTTCCTTATAGTTGCCAAGGAGACTAAGGATCCTATTGTTACTCAGTTATTCTATGATGCTGGTTTTGAGCTGGGACGACATGTTATGGCTTTAGTACCAAAAGTTGACTCAGTCAGTTACGTTATTACTTACATAATGATTTATTGCTGTTTTTTGTACATATTACATTATATTGCAGGTGCTTATCAAAGAGATGAATGGGTCTATTCCTGTACTGCTTGAAGGAGCAGTTTTTAACAGTTGGGATCTTTTACAATCAGGTGTGATATATATTTGTAAATTATCATTGAATCAAAACTATATTTCTTTCTCATTTCCACCTCCCTAGGTTTTGAAGCAGCTGTTTCTTCTGCCACTGTTCCCATTACTTTGTACATGCTGGTTGGAAACTGCTCTGGATCAGTTGGTGCTGCTATTTTAGGAGCCAAAGCTGCTGAACTCTCTCTAGACATTGACTACAAAAAGAACAGCTCTCTATTCTACACTACGTCACCTAAAACAAGCTAGAAGCAAAAACATTATTGCTTTTTTGGAAAGATTTAATTTTTGAATTTTTGTCAAATTTTTGATTGCTGCTAAATATTTGTGGGCGTGGTTATTAGAGACATTTCAAAATGGCGGCCAGTTCACAACAGCAGCAGCAGCAGCAGTTAGACACTAGGGCTGAGCTTGCTGAGCTTTTAAAGAGGAAGAGTGAGCTCTCAGAGAGTCTGGCTAATCTAGAGAGACAGATATACGCCTTTGAGGGAAGCTATCTCGAAGACACACTCGCCTATGGTAATGTCATCAAAGGTTGGGATGGATACCAGAACCAGCTAAGAGCTCAACAAACTAAAACCGAGAGAAAGAGAAAAAAGTTCTCGGACTCTGATAGACTTTTTTCTCGATCGTCGGTCACCTCGCAGGCCAACGCAACCAATCATCGTCGATTTGACGGAGAGACATTTCATGAAGACATCTCTTTGCAGGATTCCATTGAAGATATGAGTGACACTCATTCGCAGTGTTCTACGCTAAGTCAAGAGCAGTCTCAGAGGGGGCTCAAGGACTCCAGGATATCATCACAGAACAAGAGAAGAAAAATAAAACACAAATAAAACTTTTTATATAGCTCATTATTATTCATAGAGTAATAAAATTAATTAGTTTATTGATCACCCAGCCACGCCCTGTTTGTAGCAAGATGCTCATCAAATTCTTGCTTTTCTCTCTCGCTCTAACTGTTGTAGCATCTCAGAAGTAAGTCATGTTATGAAGAAAAGGCTCCTTATTGTTGCTCCATAGTCCTTATAACTGCAGTGAAACGGTAGCTGCGCTAGTTGTTAACTATGTAACTTTTTACACCAAGTTTTACTACAGCTGTGGCTGGTTTGGAGCTGCAGTCTGTGAAAAGTCAGTAATCCAAACATTTTATTAGCTGGTCATTTATAAGCTATAGGACACAATCTTATCTTGGATCCTTTGGCACGTACATGACTGAAATTCACTGCTGTCCAGGTTATGGAGGCCTGAATTGCACAGGTCAGTAGCCATGCATGAATGCTTTCTTCACTCACTTAGTACTCTTTCTCTTTCAGCTAAATGCGAATCACCTCAATGCAATGACAATGAGATATGCATTGCTCCTAATCACTGTGGCTGCATTGAAGGCTGGACTGGCTATCGCTGCTTAACAGGTAAGTTCAAAAGGAATGTCATATCTACTAAATATAACGTTGCAATTTCTTTTTGCAGACATTGATGAGTGCTCACTACTGACTGACGAGTGTGAGCTGAGGTCTTCTTGCAACAATACTGATGGAGGGTATCTCTGCTCCTGTAATTATCCAGACGTACTTGCTAGTGATGATAGAAGATGTCTAAGTAAGTTTTTAAAGTGCATGAACCTCCACGCATCATGCATTTATAAGTATATATGATCGATTTTAATTTTACATGATATTTGCATTTGTTGCTTGGTGATTGGTATATTTTCTTTCTTTATTTAGGTCCTGCAAGTAACTTTTCAGCTACTCCTAATCGAAGGAGCATCAGTCTCTCCTGGTCTCCTCCATTTAATTACACTGCTGATGGAGATATTGATCAGTACAACGTCTATTGCAACATTACTGGTAGCCATGATAGTAAAACTATCAAAGAAAATGGAATATACACTAAAAACCTTTCCGCTAGTTTGTTTCCTTTAAGCCCATTCACTAATTACAGCTGCTGCATTGAAGTGCTTTGGACTAATGGAGACGTTAGTGAAAGCAGCTGTGTTGATGTGCGGACACTAGAAGACTGTAAGTTTGATAAAACTTAATAATAATTTATTAATATTTAATTATAATTTTAGCTCCTGATGACCCACCACAAAACATTACTGTGGAAAGTGTTGATGCAATGAATTTGCTGTTAAGTTGGCAGCCACCACAACAAACGAATGGGATCATCTCTAGTTACACTATAAATATCGACTATACCAATCACAGCAAGATATTCAGTGTGATGGTGGACAGGGATATTGAGTTCTTTATTCTCGGGTTCCTCTATCCATACCAGCTGGTTGGTGTCAGTATGGCCGCCAGTACTGGAGGAGGCCTAGGACCTTTCTCTGACTTTGAATTTAATCGGACAAAGCAAAGCTGTAAGAAAAAAATTGTAAAAATTTTTACAAATTTTGTTATTTTTCAAATTTCATAGCACCAGGTACAGTCCATAATTTAAACATTGCTGTCCTCAGTCAAAATTCTATTAATGTCACTTGGCATCCACCAAAGTCTCTTAATGGAATCATTATCAGTTATCACATATTCTTACTATCAACCTCACAGCAGCTCAGGGAATGGAGCTTGACTGCTGAAGATGATTTATACGTAATTGTCCATGATTTAGGTATAAATGATACTCTCATTTTAACTTAATCTATTATTTCATTTTAGAGCCTTATTCTCCATACCAAGTTGAAGTGAAAGCAGCTACTACTGTAGCTAGAGGTGCTTCTGCTCCTTTCAGATTCTTCACTGATCAAAGAAGTATATTACAATAATTATAGCTATCCCACACATTTATTTGTTTTTTAATTCTACAGTACCTGGCATGTCTCCATCGCTTACTTCAGACACAGGGCGTCTGACCCCAACAACCATACTGTTCTCATGGACTAGATTTACTGATGAAGATGCAGGTGGATTCTTGCAGTACTACACCGTATCTTACCAAAGGAAATGTGATGAAAATGAAGAAGTGCTCATCAATACAACAGATACTAGTATACAGCTGCATGATCTTAATCCATTGGAGGGCTACTGCTTCAAAGTAGCAGCTGTAACTATAAAAGGAACCGGCCCATTCTCTACACCTGTTTCTCTTGAAGGTAGAGCGGCGGGAATTTTAAATTATTATTTTTGACTATCAATTTAGCTTTTTCTAGCAGTGAATTCTATTTTCATCTCACTAGTGTGTATGATTGTTTAAAATGGACACAGGTAAGCAGCATTTCCATGCATTATAATACATACAAATTATTATTTTATAGTCAAGTAGAAACTCAGATAGTATTGTATCTACAATTAAAGAGAAGCTTACAATTGTTGTCAATGAGAATTGCCAGTGTGGTGTACAGCCATCTTACTTTCAGCTTAACTTTACCTGTGATGGTGCTAACACTAATCGTGTAACTGTTCAAGGAAAGTTAGTTAGAACCAGAGATTACAACAGCAATGAATTAACCATGTTCATCAATAACTGGACCAACTTCACTTCAATCATTGTGTTGGATGGCGTCCAGTTCTCTCTCTCGAATTGTGACTCCAATCCTACTGCTTGTCAATCAGCATCAATTGGAACTCAAACCACTGAAAATTCTTCTTCTTCTTCTTCTACTGCTCTCTCTGTTTCTCTTGGGGTCATAATATCATCAATAATAACATTGGGACTCTTCTTTGGAGCTACTGCTTTAATTCTGTACATCCTCAAAAAGAGAGAAAAACGTGGACCATCAAAGTAAATAAGAATTGATTCACTTTTAGCATGATTGCATGGTGATTCCTTTAGCTTATAAAGCATGTCATAAATTATTCTGTTTTTAGTAAAAGTAAGGACATTTCTCAACTTCAAAATACAAATATATACAGTGTTACTAATCCTATACCAGAGGATGAACTCGAGGATAATTTAGACGATGATTTTGCTGATGCAGAAAAGTTATGTGAAGCATCAGAAGAAGAGAAATCTGATTATTCCCAATGATATAACAGCTCAATAATGTTTAATGTAATTTATGAATAGCTGCACACTATTGTCACATGTTTATTGATTGAATTAATGAATGTTATTAAAGAGACCATTATTCATAGCTGGTGAGAATGTTTGGGTGTTACCATCAACAGCAAAAGATGATGAACACAGTATCACTACTAATAGTGATACTATTGATAGTGGAAGGAATAGAGTAAGTGATGAAGGACTTACAAGTACTGTATGTATATCTATTGTATAGTGGACAAGGTTTTGAATGCAGTGGTCCAAATATGTGTGTGTGCAAACAAGGATGGCAAGGAGATAACTGTAATATAGGTATACATTTCTTCTCCTTTCTTCTTATAATTAGTAATTTATTTTAGATATTGATGAGTGTTTTTCTGCTGATTCTGACAAGTTGAATGAGTGTGAGTGGGAGGACTCTTGTGTTAATACTCAAGGATCCTACAACTGCTCATGTATGTATCCTGATCTACTGGCTAATGATGCTAGAAGATGTCTAGGTATGCAGTGATACATAATGCATGATAGATACATGTACATGAATGTACTAACATGTGGAAACTAGCAGCCATAACTTGAAAAATTGAAGTCGGGATTGGCTCAAACTTTCTACACAGCATAAGTACATTAATATGTATCAGAAAATGTAATAAAAATTGGGGGTCATTTTTTAGCCATTTTTCAGAAAAAAGCATGGGCTATAGCCTTGGGTATTTTCCCGATTTTGGCCTATTTCTTAAAATGGCCGTAACTTGAAAAATTGAAGTCAGAATCGGCTCAAACTTTCTACGTAGCATAAGTGCATCAATATGTATCAGAAAATGTAATAAAAATTGGGGGTGATTTCGGAGCCATTTTTTGGAAAAAACCATGGGCTATAGTACAGGGATTTTTTCCGAAATTTGAAGTTTTTTAAAAATGGTCATAACTTGAAAAATTGAAGTCGGAATCGGCTCAAACTTTCTACACAGCATAAGTACATCAATATGTATCAGAAAATATAATAAAAATTGGGGATGATTTCAGAGCCACTTTTTGGAAAAAACCATGGGCTATAGTACAGGGTATTTTTTAGAATTTTGACGTTTTCTTAAAATGGCTGTAACTTGAAAAATTGAAGTCGGAATCGGCTCAAACTTTCTACGTAGCATAAGTACTTCAATATGTATCAGAAAATGTAATAAAAATCGAGGATGATTTTGGAGCCATTTTTTGGAAAAAACCATGGGCTATAGTACAGGGTATTTTTCAGAATTTTGACGTTTTCTTAAAATGGCCGCAACTTAAAAAATTGAAGTCGGAATCGGCTCAAACTTTCTACACAGCATAAGGGCATCAATATGTATCAGAAAATGTAATAAAAATTGGGGGTGATTTCGGAGCCATTTTTTGGAAAAAACCATGGGCTATAGTACAGGGTATTTTTTAGAATTTTGACGTTTTCTTAAAATGACTGTAACTTGAAAAATTGAAGTCGGAATCAGCTCAAACTTTTTACGTAGCATAAGTACATCAATATGTATCAGAAGCTAGTTTCTATGTGCATAAAAATTAACATGGGCTATATAATATATATTCTTTATTATACAGGAACTATTACAGTCACTGATACTGTCATTGATTCCTATTGGTTTATTCTTAATTTCAATCTCCCAACTAACGACACTTTGGATGGACCATTTGAAGGAACCTCATTCAACTGCACTGCTCCTAACTATGAACCAGTCCAGTCCTTTGCAGTGTATGGCCATACTTCAGTTAATGTTAGTGGAGTCATTCCATTCACTGATTACTCATGCTGTGCTACTCCTCATTGGATGGACAAGGGAAATGGCAGGGAAGCCTGTGTAAATATTTCTACTTTGGAAGCTGGTGAGAACTTACCTAACTCACCTCTCTCTCTATTTTCTTGTATTTTGTTTTAGTTCCTGATAAATGGCCGGAATCATTTGAGAGTACCCCAGCCTCCTCCAGGTCTATCATTTTAAACTGGAAACCACCTGATCCTCCAAATGGAATTATCACAAACTACACGATTTATATAAACTACACCAATGGCAGTGATATTGATGTCCGTACTGTAGATGGTGATATCAGCTTCTACTTATTACAAGCACTTGTTCCTCATCAACTTATCCAGTTAAGCATATCAGCTAGCACAGCATTAGGTGAAGGACCAAGAACTGAAGTTATATCCTTAAGAACACTTCAGGATAGTAAGTGATGCTTTTTTTCTTGCTATTAATTTTATTCTTTCCCTTCAGCTCCAGGACCAGTTGATAGTATTTCAATAACAGTCCTTGCCCAGCATGCAGTCAATATATCATGGCATCCTCCATCAGAACTTAATGGGATTATCATTTCTTATGAATTTAGAATCTACAGTCTATCCCCTGATTATTATTCATTCACTAAGACTTTGCTACCAAATCACGACTTCTTCATTGCCCTTCACAATCTCCGTGAGCATTAAAAAATCTATTTTTCATTTATTTGTTTGTTTATTTATTTTATAATTGTTTATCATTCTTTCCATTGCATCGTAACATTAGGCCCCTTTGTTCCATACTATCTACTCATAATAGCCGAAACAATAGCTGGTAAGGGAGAACTCTCACCTGTACAATTCTTCACAGCAGAAGCAGGTAACATCCTCCCCCATTGCATCATTAGTACTTTATCATATTCTCATGCTTTAGAGCCACTGACATTTCCAATGGTAACCAGTTATGAGAGAATATCACCAACAGTCATTAGTCTATCATGGAATAAAATGAGTCTTGAAAATTTGAGGGGATTTCTTATATCGTACAATATTGCTGTCTCCCAGTCAATTTATGACTGCTCTTCTACTAAAAATGAGAGAGTCATAGAGACTAATGCAACCATGTTATCAATAGCTGCTGTCCCAGGGATATCTTATTGTATATCTGTGTCAGCTAGTACCAGAGAAGGGATAGGACCAGAATCTCCTTCGCTTTTTATTAAATGTAAGCATTAAGTGCTTGATATATGGAATGATTATGATAAATGTTTTATGCAGCAAATGAGGTTAAAAGTGCATTTCAAATTCATATCACAGGAATATCTGATTGTAAAGAATGGCTGGTAATATTATGATATTGCTAGAGTATTATTTATTTATTCATTTTAGAGTACTAATGCTAGTTCAAAGGTTGGTTCACTAGCACTTGTGATCGCAAGTGTCATCAATGAATACTGCAATTGCAGTTATTCTGTCAGCTACATTACATCAACAAGATATCTCTGTGATGATAGATACACTACCAGCATTGTGTTTCAAGGAGAGCTAATAGAAACTTCTGTATTCAATGGAACACAACTAATAGGATTCATGCAATCTTGGGCCCAGTCCAGCCCCACAGTGAGCATTGAAGGCTCCAGATATACAATTGATGGAGCTTGTGATGTACTTATAAATGAGTTAGGAGTGATTGCATTGGATGGGTGCAGTGTTGGAGCTAGTAATCCTTCTAGTGTACTAGCTCCTGCAGTGATTGGCACCCTCACTGGGATAACTGTTGCTTTCTTTCTCTTGCTAGTACTAACTATTGCCACTGTGGGTACTGTACTGTGGAGAAGATCCAAGAAAAGCAGCAAAAGGTTGTGTACTAATTATTATTATCATCATTATTTATATTTTATTTATTCCTGCAGTGACACAAGTCTTGAGCTCCCTACAAGGAGGCCAGGTGTTAGAATTGGACGTAAAACTTCAAATGCTTTTGAGCTAGCAAACCCACTCTATGGTGATACAGGCATTGCTCGTGCAATAAATGATGACGATGATGCACAATTGATGGATAATTTAGAAAATTAATGTATTATAAAATTATGTTAATAATGTATAAATAAAAGTTTGTTTTATTAAAGTGTATTCATGTGCAAAAGGGAGCTTGCATCAAAGGGGACCGTGTGAGTGGGCGAGCAGTGAAATGAATTCATAGTCAGTTTGTTATCAGCATTTCTTATCAGTCTCAGCGCATCATGGCTTTCAAAGAGATGGCTCTTGTTCTCTTTGCTCTCCTTTTCCTACCTTTAATGGCTTCCCAGCCTCAGTCCAGGTTAGTCCTTTAGCTGTACAAATCCTCAGTGACTCCTTTTAGCGCTTATTCTTGTGAGTTTTAAATACTTTTTGTCTCTTTTTCACATAGCTCTATCGAGCCCTGCAAAGTGCTTGTAATCAGAACAAAGTTAGAGTATTACAACGTAACCAAGAATATCACTTACTGCTGCACTAACTGGTGCAATAACTACTGCATAGGGTAAGTATAATAAAGCATAAAATTGATCTAAATTCTGTTATGATTTTACCATCAGAACTGAAGTTGTAACGTTAAACAGAACAGTCTATTTTCAAGACTTTGATTGCTGCCCTGGTTATGGAGGGCCACAATGTCTACGTAAGCCTTTGACAAAATAACATTAACAAATTAATAACATTTTAAACATTTCTTCTGCAGCTGTTTGCTCCAGCCCTTGTCAAGGACCAAACAAAGCTTGTTTAAGACCTGATATATGTGGCTGCATATCAGGATGGACTGGCAATAACTGCCAGAAAGGTATATTCAAGATTACAATGCATTTGCAACACAGCACAGCAAAAATGTAGTCAGTATGCCTGCAAGTATAAATCATGAATTTTCATAGAATTACTTCACTGGCGGCAATTTTAGTGGCATGCACTATCAAAACTAGTTTGTCTGGGTTGGCCATTAGTAAAGTAATGGGTGGTCTACTCTGTGTCAAATGTGGTTACACTATTGATGATAATTTCTATAAACTTTCCTTGTATAGTTAATGGGCTGCATCATGTCTCAATCAGTGATGCATCAGTTCAACTAGGATGGAGTTTGCCCTCAAATAACAATTCTAACGGATATATCGCACTCTGTTCCAACTCATCTCATTCTCTCAATGAGTCCATTGATCCTGGAGGGAATAAGACCACTATCAGTGGCCTCATTCCATATTCTGTTTACAAGTGCTGTGTTGTCTCGTTGCTAAAACAAGGGAATGGAACAGAGTCATGCATATCGGTGGAAACACAACAAAAAGGTTAGCTGAGCTCTTGGGGGGTCTTTAGCGAATTCTTCTAACTATAATTGGAAGCACAAAGTCATGAATATTGTTGGACCAAGCTATAAATAACAAATAATGACTGTATATAGCTTTATGGAGAATAGACATCCTTTTGCATCATCAGTCAGCTTCCTTTGATAGATTGTTATGATTTTTAGTTGTAGGAAGTACACAGTTAAGAGTCTAGCCAAATCCCTTTTCACTAGACTATTTCTTTGATGATGTTTACTATTATAGAAGTTGATCTTACTAGAAGAATGTAAAACATTTAAAGGGCTTTAGCCCCGAGCCACGTAGTTTTTGTACTGTATGCTGCTAAAGAAGTTTTTGAATAGCAGTTTAATTTTATCTTGCTGACCATTTCTGCAAATGAACACATACTTGCTGATAAATGCCTAATATTTTTTATTCTGTAGCTCCATCGTCTCCAATTAATCTCAGAGCTGAGACAATTTCTAATACAACACTCCTCATACAGTGGGACCAACCAGTAGCACCCAATGGGATCATAAGGAACTACACCCTCATCATTAATTATGGTGGATCCACGATTGATCGAATATCTGTTGATGGACAGTTGAGGATGTATCTCTTGAATGGGCTGAGCATCTATCAAAGTGTACAGATAAGTATTGCTGCTAGGACTGATGCTGGAATGGGTCCAGCAGCTAATTATATCACTGCTAACGTACAGCAGACTATGGGTAAGTTATGATGGGTTTATGAGCTGTGCATTTAATGCCATTTTTCTCTTTTTTAGCTTCTCCTACTCCGCTCTCACTAGAGAAGAGTAAGTTTCATTTGTTATTATTTTGTTGTTTTGCTTACTTTCAATATTATTATCACTATTTTTATTATTACTTTCAACATTTATTGTTATTACTGAGTATGGGATAATGTTCAATGCCTCATTGATTTAGGTACAAATTTGCTGTCTGTTACTAATCACCAAACCACATCCCACCTCGTCTGGACTCCGCCCTCAAATACCATATACGCTGTAAAGTATTATCACTTAACCCTCCACACCGTTCAACTATCAAGACTAATAAACAAATGGACACTCCGCCCAAATCAAGTCTTTAATATCATATTGACATTAAGTAAATAAAAATTATAATAATCATAATAATTTTGCTGTATTTTCACTATATAGACCCATATGTGCCATACAGATTGGATGCTTTGCTAATGACTGATGGAAGAAGTACAGGAATGATTTCTAGTGATGTATTCTTCACAAAGGAAGGAGGTATGCAGTGAAATGCTAATGATATTCATAATCTCCTTATAAAAATAGCCCCTACTGCTTATCCAAGCATATCCAGTGCTGTGCGAGCAGAACCAAATGAAGGAAGGCTCTCCTGGTTACCACTTGACCTCTGGGACAGTCAAGGAGTCGTAAAGAACTACACAATTTCTTATGCTCAATCGTCTTCTAATGAAACGTGTGGAAATACTGTCAATACAAAGACTGTTGTGATAGTGAGCAGTTCCGAGACCCAGGGACTCTCTCACTCACTTAATAGTCTTAATGTACAGAGTCCTTACTGCATTAAAATACAAGCAAGTACTAGCTCTGGTCCTGGGCCTTTTTCTCCTAGTGTATTACTACCAAGTGAGCTTAAAATAATCAAAACTTTATTATTATTTATTTTAATATTTTGTAGCATATGCTAGTACTAAAATCTGTGTACTGTTGAGTGGTGTCTACAACTGCAGCAAATGGATCGTAAGTTAAAAGAGTCTTATTATAATATATAGCTACTTATTATAAGGAAAATATTCATAATAATTGATGAATATTCTGTTTTAAAATTATAAGAATTATTTTGAGTTTTTTCTATTATTTTAGTTAGAGGATCTCAATGAGAAGATCAGTAATGCAAGCGTGGCTGTAGTTAACTCTCTCAACCAAGCTTGTTCCTGTTCCATCACTACAAGTCATCTTGTCCAATCATCTCTTACATGCAACTCAAGAAGAATTGACGGCAGTGCATTATTCTGTACTACTGTCATTGGAACTAGTAAAACCAGCAGTCAAAGATTGAGGGACCTTTTAATAGAAAGACTACCGAGAAATTCTCTTTTATTATCTGGACTGAATCTCAATGTTAGTAATGTATGTGAAACTGAGGACTGTCCACCATTGGGTACTACGGGACAGAATGGGGAGAATGATGAGGACTTCTTTAAAGTATTCTCAGTCATTCTATCTATAGTGCTTGGGCTGTTTCTTCTGCTGGAGATCTTCACTTGTGTACTCCTCGCCAACTATTGTAATAAGTATCACAGCAAGAAGTCAAATCAGTGAGTTATGCTAATTGAAAAATTCACAAAAAATCCAATTTTAATCGGAATTAACTCGAAGTTTAAAAATAACACAAAAACATATAAATGCATCAGAAAAAATTATAAAAAATTAGAATTCTCTACTTTTTATTTTTGGCAAAATTTGGCCAATGACCCTTTGGCCCAATTTTGGAGCAACTTTAAGAATTCATAAAAAAATTAAATTTAATCAGAATCAGCTCAAACTTTTTACACAACAAAAGAACATGTATATGCATCAGGAAATGTAATAAAAATTAAAAATTTTCTCCTTTTCATTTTTAGCAAAATTTGGCCCGAGACCATGTACTATAGTACAGGGACTTTTACCCAATTTTAGAGCAACTTTAAAAATTTGTAAAAAAAATCCAATTTTGATCGGAATGTGCTCAAACTTTTTACACAACAAAAGAACATGTATATGCATCAGGAAATGTAATAAAAATGGAGAATTCTCTCCTTTTCATTTTTGGCAAAATTTGGCTTGAGACCATGTACTATAGTACAGGGACTTTTACCCGATTTTAGAGCAACTTAAAAAATTTGTAAAAAATCCAATTTTGATTGGAATGTGCTCAAACTTTCTACACAACAAAAGAACATGTATATGCATCAGGAAATGTAATAAAAATGAAGAATTCTCTCCTTTTCATTTTTGATGAAATTTGACCCGAGACTATGTACTATAGTACAGGGACTTTTACTTAATTCTGAAGCAATTTTAAAGAACCCAAATCCTGCAACATAAATAATCAGAATATTACTAATAGTCTTTTCTTCCATTATTAGGCCTCAGCCACCATTATACCTTTGCTCTTCCTCAACAGCGAGTGAAGTTACCAGTAGCTCCGACGAGAAGATGTCAATATCTACAATTGGTAAATACTCCAGCAACTTCAGTAGCGGCACTACAGTATAAAGGACCACTTCAAATACACACATATATACAGCAATGACTGTCATTATTATATTATATCTCTTCATCTATATCTCTTCATTGTAATAAATATTGTATTTTTAAAGATTTTATTTAGTCAACATTGATTTTTATAATAATTATAAATAAATAATATTTTTATCTCTCAAAAATTGATATTTTTATTATAATAAAAATTTACAATAATTGCCATCATCATTTTTATCGAGAGACGTCTCTACAATACAATGAAGCCATTCTAAAACGAATAGCGAAAGATAAATAAATAAAAGTAGATAAACACAGAGGATAGAGCAAATATTTCCTTCTGCTAAACAATCGCTGGAACATAATAATAATTATTAAACACTAAAAAGATCAGTCCTGCTGGATTAGAGACAATTACTTTAAGATGTACTGAGGATCTGCTTGAGCGACGAAACAAAATGATCAACGTTTTCCTTGTCAATGCAAATCGGAGGCTTTATCTTTAAAACGTTACCATCCATTCCATCGGTTAGTATAAAGATCATGAACTCATTTGACATCCTACAATAAATAAATAAATACATCTAGACAGATAAATAAATAAATAAATAAACAAAATAAATAAATAAAATAATAATAACAACATCACACCTTCTCTTTACCTTTTGGCTACAATACTAGCCAGTTCCTTGTCTGGCTCCCCGTCCTTCACCAGTTCCACTCCAACCATTAATCCAGAGCCTCTAACGTCCCCAATCTGTTTAAAGTCTTTCTGTGCCTCTCGTAACTCCTTCATCAGGTACCCACCGACTGTCTCCGCTCTCTCTTGAAGTTTCTCTTCGTCTATGACATCCAGGACTGCCGATGCTATTGCCATTGAAACCGGGTTACCTCCAAACTATAAGGCAAAATGTACCATTTGAAAATGCACTAAAATTGTCTTAGCAAAATTACAATGCACATGTACTTACAGTGTTGAAGTATTCTACTCCAGTCGCAGCATAGCGGTCAGCAATTTCCTTTGTTGTAATGACAGCTGCTACCGGATGACCGTTACCCATTGGTTTACCAATGGTAACAATATCTGGAATAACACCTGGAAAGGAGACACATGTAATTGTACAATCCTTTTAATAAACCACACCTACCGTGTTGCTCAAAGGCCCAGAAATGTGTCCCAACTCTACCAAAACCAGATTGGATCTCGTCAGCAATACACAAGCCACCAGCTGCTCTTACTGACCTAAAATAAATTCAAAAAATAAATACCAAATACAAGCAATAAAAAATAAAAAGAGCTCTATATACATGTACATGTATCTTAAACTTACTCATACACATTCTTTAAGTATCCTTCAGGAGATACAACAATACCTCCACAGCAAAGGATAGGCTCTGATATGAAGGTAGCAACCTACAAATAAATGAACATAATAGACGTATTAACAAACAATACATGTACATGTAAATACATGTATATTGTACATACTACCAGCTGTTGAGTATTATTTTTAAATAAAATGTTATGTAGTAAATTTGTACTCCATGTATACACAATTATAACATCAAAGCATAGTAAAACAATGTACTAAATGTATAAATACCTTCTTTCCTTCATTGTGACATGTTTCAATAACTTCCTTTACTTCTTTGGCATAAAGAGGACCAGCTGTATGAGGATCACGATACTGACCTCTGAAAGTATCAGGGAGTGAAACCTAAGAAATATAATAATGAAAGAGAAACCACAATTAAAATAATCATTATAGCAACAATAACAATGAAAGTATCAATATAGCAGCTGCTTTAATTAAATTTAAAAACCAGCAGCAACCTCAACTGGTTCAATACATGCATTGATAGAAAATAGGAAAAAGCTTTACTCTTGAGTTAAAAGTTCTGACAATAATGAAGGTCAGAGGAAGCAAGCAACATTAGGATTCTACAGTAAACTGACCAGGTGGACATTTTCTGGCCTTTTCTGGCCGTCAACAATAGCCAGAGGATGATAACTGATGGCCCTCAGTGACTTGAGATGGCCATGATAACCTCTGTCACAAATAAAACACACAAAAAATAATAAAAAAGAAGAGAGAGAAAGAGAGGGGGAAAGAAAGAGAGGGAGAGTAGGAGGAAATAGACAAAACAGGATGAAATTAGAGTGCACTTCTATATCATATCATAAATGCATTAGGAGGAACAAGTCTTCACATGGTATCTTCATGCTCTCGATATTTCTGCATTAGCAGCAACTGGCCACATGCTCCACTCATGCTCTGCACATGTCCATCGACTGTAAACGAACAATCTGTGAAGCATTTCAATTACTGGTTTACTGATGGCGGCCATAATCATATCAAAAACATTGGTGGACGTAACTGGCAAAATGCCAATAAATAGTGGCAATGGAGCATGGCTATATGACTATACGTGTACAAAGAATTATACAAGCGAGCTCTTTTCAGGTTAATAGTAGACACTCTAATTTCATTCTGATTTTGATTTGATCACACATAAATACATGTAACTTACCCCTTGACAGCGATGATCTCCGAGTGGCCAGTGACGTGTTCAGCCATTTGTAAAGCAAGATCATTAGCTTCAGAACTACATGTACATGTGTATATAAAAAGAAAGAATAAATACGTGTTTAAAAGATCATAAATAAAGAAAATAATACAAATAAATGAAAATACTCACAACAAAATAAATGTAAACAATCATAAACAATATACATGTAAACAATAAACATAAACAATGTATTTACCCAGAATTAGTGAAGATGCAGCAGTTTAATTTACCAGGCATCTTGCTCGAGAGACGCTTAGCTAACGTGACCATACCATCATGCAGGAACCTTGAATTAGTATTTAGTAACATCATCTGCTTGACACCTGCTTCAACAACTTTTGGATGACAATGACCAACTAGAAAAGAGAGAGAGAGAGGAGTAGCTTTAAATTTAAATCACATCTCTCTCTCTCTCTCTCTCTCTTTTTCCTCTCTCTCTCTTCCTCTCTTCTCTTACCATGGTGTACATTATTTCTCATGTCCAAGTATCTTGCTCCAGTATCAGTGAACATATACTGACCAGAAGCACACACTATCCTCTCAGATGAATCAGTCTTGTATATATCATCACTGCATAATGAGAAGGAGGAAGAGAAAGGTATGCTAAAATTACAAGTAGATATTTTCTTTTGCTCCAATAAAACAATATTGATACATTACTGGGTCTTTAATAAACAGATTAACGCAGTGAGTTTTGTATGCTCTTTCTCCAGAGACTACCTGGTAGTAACCCATACTTTACTAATCAGTGCTAATCTACTGCATCCAAAATAGTCACGTAGCCAGCAGACCCACCTACTCTCCATAGACATGGAGCTGAGAGGTTGCTTCATCTTTCACACCAAAAAATCATGTCCATTTATTAGCCTATCCTCCTTTACTACATACATGTACAAGGATAGAGTCTCCCCCTCTCTCTTTTGTTAGGAAGACATGAAAGACAAACAACTTGATAGGACACACACCCCTGGCTGTCCCTCATTGTATCAACAAACAACTGAAACAAGCTACATGCATGGACTAATAAGAAGCAGCGCTCATTTTGTGATGAAATCATCAAGAGACAGAACAAAGTGACATTGTTTCTTACCACATCACCTCCTTCCTCGCCTTCAGAGACTCTTCTTTTAAAGTTTTTGGTTTCTTTGGCTCCGACGGAAGCAAATCTTCATCATTGATGGCAGGAGGTTCGTGAAGGAGTCTGTGCCCGCGAAAACTAGAGACTTTGACGGCCATTACTGTAAAGATCTCCTTGCCGTTCAAATAAATAAATAGAATAGCAAGTCCTCCCTTTCCTCCCTTTCGGTTTTGGAGAGTGGAGGCGTTATTTAATATTCATAGGTTTAATTTAATTAATAAAATTAAATAAAATGTAATGAATAATTAATGAGGGAGTCTAAGAAGTATGGTTTTCTTTTGAGTCTTTCCCGTCCTTAAAAAGAAGAAAGAAATAAAACACACACACAATGCACAAAATCCCCCCAACATTCCCTGTTTGCATGCATCAGATGGGCATGTGCCATGACATACAAATACTAACCTTTTCAGCTTCCTCCAGCTGCTGTACTCCTAACAGTAAAACAAGATAAAAGTACATGTATATGACACATTTAAAACGAATGAAGAAGCAGCTGTATTTAGACATAATGTCTATTAATGTGTGTACCTTCTGGCTGGTGTGTGTCCATTGTTCTCTGTGTGATTGTAGTGTCTTCATCTTCCATTATATTCTGAGGAAGATTAGCTGAAAATAAAAAACAGACAATAATAATAATACCACCACTACATGTATGTAAATAAAAAATGGAGATACAAGAAGAAATATATCACGTAGAAGAAGACATATATATGCCATGATTTCATAAACCATATGATTAGATAGAGGGTTACAAAAGGGAGGCCACTATAGCTACATAGCAGCTGGCTATATTTTAATTGAAACAGGTCACTGCTACCTGTTTTATACTATGGAATGCATTTTTGGTATAACCACCAGTTATTCAAACTGATATTATTATTATACTGGTATTACTAGCTATAAACCAGTTATTTGAACCAGTTATTGTAGATGTATTTTGATAATACTGTATCAAGTTACAATGGTCACAATAAACTGTGTCATAACAATCATCATCAAATACCTATTTAGAATTGCATAGTGTTCATAGCAATAAGAATGACAATAATGGAATTTTTAAATCCAATTAAGCAGCTGTAAGGCTTAAGCAGACATACATGTAGGATCAGTAATTATAACTGCAGTACATGTACATGTACATGTATTTCAAAAAGTCTTAAATATTTTTGTTGAAAAAGTGCACCTTATCCCCTTTACCACCACCACACCCAGACATATGTACGTTTACATACTAATACATGTACTTCAGGGTTTCTAACAAGTTCTTACTCCTTACCGGTTAGTGTCATTTCACCAGACGATGAGAGGATGTCAACGGAAGGAGGAGGGAGAGGAGGAGGAGGTTGAGTGACAGTAACTGTGAGATCCATTGGCTTGAGAGAGAGGGAGAGGAGAAAGGAGTAACAATGACAGCTTGCAGGTTAAATATATATATGTATACTTCATTTTCTTTGTTAATCTCGTCTTCTTCTTTCATTTCTTCTCTAACTAACGCAAATAATAATAACAAAAATGCACGTGTAATTAATCAAAATTACCAGGAACCCATTTATATATTTTGATTGAATTTGACAGTCCTAGATCAACCCATTTCTTCTCCCTATTAAAGGTAGGCGTGGTCACTGACATTAATAAACCTAGCTACTTACCATTTTCTAACTTTGTCTATGGTTTGAATGACTCTTTTAATGTCGTCTCTCGCTCTGGATCTCGTCTCTAGACGAAAACTGTTCCTACTGGCGCTCATTGTACTCATCTTTCAAAGCCACTTGTGAGCCACCATTTTATTTCAGACCACGCCCATAAATAATTAATTACAATACTGTTATAAATATTTATTGAAATACTTGTCTTCACTGTTTTTGGAGTTAAAAAATAATAAATAAAATAATAATAATAAATAGTATAGCTATAAATTCAATGCTGATAATGCATCGAGGAATTTCGGTCGTTCATCGACTTGTATCTTCATGACTAAGAAAACAAAAATTTATTGGGTAACCAGGTAAAATTTCATACATGCACACTATGAATTTGAATAATAAAGTCTTACCTGATTTATCAAAATGATGAAACTCTGTACTAACTTGGACCACTTTTGAAGCTGATGGGAAGTCAGTGTGAAATTCACTGAGAGAGAGAGAGAGAGAGAGAGAGAGAGAGAGAGAGAGAGAGAGAGAGAGAGAGAGAGAGAGAGAGAGAGAGAGAGAGAGAGAGAGAGAGAGAGAGAGAGAGAGAGAGAGAGAGAGAGAGAGAGAGAGAGAGAGAGAG